CTGGTGCTGCCCCTCGGGAAAAGCAGCCGCGCAAAACCCGACTTGCAGCTGCTTCAGCTGCTGCGGATCGGCCTGCTGCTGCTGTTGGTTTTCCTTAAAGTGCACCGACCAGCACGGGACGGAAAGAGCCGACGGAGTTACTGCGGCGGCGCCTTCAGAAACAGCGGGAAGACTCCGAGTCGGGACGGGAAGATCTGCTTCCGCCGGAGGCAGAGAATCGCCGCTTAGTAGCCAGAAGCGCTGGTGCGGATTAAACGCGTCTTCCTGAAACGGGAGCACGTCGGGAGGGTCTCCGATCATGCGAGGCGTTGGCGATAGTGGTAAACGCGGCTGCGGTCGAATCGCGAGCTCTTGAATAAGCAGCTGATGCGGGCCGGCAGGAGCCTGCATGGTGATAGCCAAGTCGATGCTAGCATCAATGTTGCTTGTAGCGATGGGGCTAGTACCGTTGGTCTGACTCTCGACTTGGCTAGGCTTTGATGAGTGTTTGTTCGACGCGTTTCGAGATAGTACGAGATTGGAGGCGGAGCGAAGGGCGCCACAGGCGGCAGCAGCCTGGGATATTTGCGACGCGACAAGAGGAAGGAGTTTGTGAGCCACGACTCCCGCCATGGCTGACTTAGCGTGTGGATTGTAGAAAGGTTTGAGCTGGATTAACTGATCAGGATACGAATAGAACCAGCAAGACAGCTAATTGCGTTTGGCTTATGGCAAAAGACAGGCAGACGATGTACAGGATGATGTTGCTTGATTGAGTTGTGTTTTCTCGGGAGGGAAGGTGAAAGCTATCGACGATCTGAACAGGTTTTGGTTGTAATCAAGCTTTTGTTTTTGTATCTTGCAATCCAGTCACTCGGGAGATGGAAGGTGGGAAACCCTGTGCGACGAATTTCTTCAAGGCGCTTCGAGAAACAGGAAGGCATATGCTGTTGGCGAATGCGATGAAAAATGTCTGGCTGTCTCGAGCCGCTCCTGAAGGTCGTGAGCGAGTCAGTGGAGTCGAATCGCTCCGCATTGATCGGCTCATCCACATCACCTTACAGCAAGTCGTTATATCCTCACGTCAGCACTTTTGGGAGGTGGCCTCGTCAGCATTATGTCATCAATTCTGGACCAGGTGCATTTGAAGGTTTCAACAGCCAATCAATATTCAAACTTCCACGCAAGCAGTCCACTTATTTGGATACAGCTGACCAGTCAGCAGCGGGAGGATGTCGGCGTCAGTACAGCACGCGACAAGCTAGGGGATGGGGTGGTGGGGGGACCACAACAACTGAAACGGCGACCTCCGGTTTTGGATCTTGCCAAATTGGCAACAGTGAATGAGGCGGAAGCGCTCTCATATAAAAGTATCACTTATTCACCCGGAATATGTAGGGTTCGACAGACACTTAATTCACCACTGGTGATGTTTACTGCTAAAGCTGATCCCGAATCAGTGTGCTGTCTGTGGATCTGTATTGGTTGGTCCAGTTACAACACAGAACCGAAACCCTTCCGCAGGATGTCATCCAGGTCAGCACGAGCGAACACAGTAGCCGCACCTGAGCCACCCACTGTCAGCTGAAGGCACTGTTGACGGTTCCCTCGTTGGCTGTTGTGGCTCCAGGGGGAACCAGCCAGCTGTGCCAGGCAAGCAGCCCATGCGCAGACCAATTCAGTACAGCCGCCACAATCGCAACCATTCGGCACTCAAGTTTCTGTTGCCGCTTCTAGATGGGTTTGTCTCTGCACGTAATTGGCTGGACGTGCCTGGCTGGGCATCACTGTTGTGGAAGAGTCGCCTGAGAAGGCATCACTGTCGTGCCTTCTCAGGCTTCCGCCGCAAGTGCACGGCGCCTTAGGGCGTGTCTGAAGTGAATTTCGACGTTTGCCGACGAAACTTTCGTCGACGTTCCTTGACGAAACTCGACATCCGTTTTCAGCTGTGTTCACTTCAGACACCCACACGACAAAATAACCCACACGTGCCATAGGAACACTGTTATAAGTTGCCCATGAAAATTCGACGTGGAATTAACAGAATCATTCATGTAACTCAATTGTTTGCAATCTCGCGAATTTGGCTTAGCATAGATTGTTGCTGGTAACACCGGATATTCTACTGTCACATTGCCAGCGAAATTTCTCTAGCACGTGTCGCTCTCGTCTTAGTTCTTATTCACGTGTGTTTGCCACAGCTATGCAGACATGGCGTGTCGAAGAATTGTTTTTGAAACACTCACTGACTACAGTGACTCAAACAGCTGCCCGGTATCACTGTTCGACATCCCTCGACATGTGCACGAACGTCGAGTTTCGTCGAGGGATGTCAGGCTGCACTTCAGAGTCCCACGGATGAGTTTCGTCGACGAAATTTGACGAAACTCGACGTTTGCACTTCAGACACGCCCTTAAAGGCGGGGTGCAACTTCTTAGGAACAGTAGCAGGACAAACATGGAGTGTGCGTAACGAGACCCTTATTGGATGAAAAAAATGGAATCTCGGAAAAGACAAACTTCTCGCCACAGAACTGCCTGGGACAACCAAGTTCCAAGCTATAATACTTCGAAGTTGAAGCTGATAGTTGGGCCACGGCTTTAAAGGCGGGGTGCAACTTTCATTGGAACAGTAGGGGGGCAATAATCGCATGTGAGTAACTTCAATTCTATTGGACGAAAAAAACTAGAAATCCACAAGAGGACAAAGCTCTCGCCTCTGAATCACGGTTGTAGAAGCAAGGGCAGTTGCCCTTGATGCCCTGAAAATTCCGGCCTACGTTTCGAGCAGCTCGACCATATAAAGTGTTAGATAGGCATGGCACCCGTGACAGTTAAGGGCCTCGTTTGGGCCTTCCCCTCAATCAAAGGTTTGGTTTCTGTTTTGAAGAACCCCCACCCCCCCCCCACACGAATTCCCAACCCCCACTCCCCGATATTTTTGACGACGGTGTTTTTTGCGAACGATGTAGAGGCTGAAGGCATGTAGATGAGTAGTTTGTGTGTACCTTTTCCGGCTAAGTAGGAGGTGAAAATTCTCCTGTGTTACATAAGGGCCAAAGTACACTTTCCTAAGAAGCGCTGATTTCCAGTTTTGAATTTGGCCTACGCCCGTGAAAATCAGGGCAGGAATTCGAACAGCTCAGGACTCAAAGTTTTGGTCTCAGGGACTTCGACAGGCCTGCTCTGAACTGCCTCGGTCAACCATCGTCCAAGCTATAATACTTTGAACTCGAGCTGATAGTTGGGCCACGGTTTTAAGTTTGAATGGAGGATGTCACGTGTGCTCAGGAGGGAACCTAGAAATTCACACCAAAAAAATTACTACATACACTTCTCCATGGAAACGGAAATGCACTAGGGCACTGTGGTCGCTGTGTAGCTTTGTAGCGAAGCATTTCACAGTAGCACGTCATTTGCACTACAGCTGACTCAATTGTGGCTGTTTACAACCATTGAAGCTCTGGATCCAGCAGAGCATGACGTGTGCATACGTTGAATATCGGGCTCACGACGCACATTCACCCCAGGAAATGGGGGACCAAGCTCTGCACCTCATATGGTGGAATCTCGGTCTTCTCGAACCGCATGTCACATTTTGTTCCTTCAGTCGCACGCACTCCACCTTCCATGAAGCGGAACTTTCTTCGTCAATCGGGAGGAGTGCCAGCAGTATCCGCACACATCCACAGTCTGATGGAAAACACAGTCGGGTCTACTGGACTTGACGACCGACAGGGTTGTCGGTTAGGGGTCAGGTGCGGCACGGCCCTCGGACAGGCTGCTTTCCCCGTTGCGGTTCATCAGTTGTGTTTTTCCGAACTATCGTTGCGTCACAAACAAGTGATAATGTTACTTACAATCCATCTTTCTCCCATGCGCAGCATCACGGATTCACAAGATTTCATCAGGAAAACCGGATTACGCCCTAGTCAAAGAAGAGACCAATTCGGCTCGTCACATCAAGTTCTGTAAAATCACGACTCAATGAGGTTCTGTACGTTTTACAGAGATCAGCAAAGTAAATCAAACGGTTGGATGGGGTAATCAGAACAATGTGGATTTCTGTGACGCACCTTCGCTTCCGTCAACCATCTCATTCTTTGTCGCCCTTACTCATCCGTTATGTTACCATCTCGGCTGCTAATATCACCAGACCTACTCATCCTAACCCGCAGCGATAAGTGCGTCTCACATACAAACCCACTTTTCTCGTCTTCATAGCTTGCCTCTTTCCAGTTACACTTCCCATTAGTTCCTCCCTTTTTCAGTGTTAACCCAGGTCATCTCAGCTTGTTCATCAGAAGCCCATTCGCCCATTTTAACCCTGCGAGCGCTCCGATAACCGGAAATTTCTTGTGAGGATGCCGTCCTTGCATTTGCTAGAAGCTCCCCTAGGACTATCCCGTCCCTACATAGCAGTACCGCCTACTACTGGTACTAGCAATCACCGGTCTTGTGAGAATACTCAGAAAACACATAGCACTTGTTGTAGTGTTTCTGCTTGTAGTATTCACCGTTCACTTGCGTTAAAGAACTCTCGTTCCAGCCGCCTTTCGTCGTCACATGCCGCCAAACACGCCGCCTTTCCCGCAGATTCGTGGAATTCCGTTGGCGAGAAACGCTGCTCTCCCCGTCGTCCGTCGTTTTCGCATCGCCAAACGCGAGCGACGATACTACTCCCGTCAGATGGCTACTCTGTCGTAACGGACGCATCTTCACCCGCCGTTTCATCCGGCGTTTCGGAGACGAATCTTGCTACCATTTTGCACGGACGCGTCGATTCTCGCCATCAGTTATCTACTTCTGCCCGAAAAATATTGCCTCGTCCGCGGCAGGGCCAGCAAGTGAACCTGACGGCAATCCAGCAGCCAATTGATGCCCGCCACGTGGCTGATAATCAGCGGCCTGACGAGGAAGCAGTGGCTCCCGTGATTCCGTGGTACGCACGACACCTCCTGCTGCCGCATCGTCCGACGGGATTAGCGGAGCTCCACGCGGCGGAATTTGCGGTCAGGCAGATGCCAGAAGGCGTGGACGCGGAAAGCGTGGAACTTCGAGACGGGCAGCTGAACGGGCAACCGAACGGGCAGGTGAACGGGCAGGAAGATGCGGAGAAAAAACAACAGCAGCGGCATCATCAATGGCCGGATCTTTGGCAGCCCGACCATGGCGAAGCGCACTTAGTAGACAGCAGCGGGAAGCGGCTGCTCGAACCGCGCGCGCTATTAGTAGACGCGTTTGGAACGTTGGTCGAAACGGCAGAGGAGGAGACTATGGTGTATGCTTCTATCGGGCAGAAATTCGGCGTGGAGATTAGTCCGGAGGAGATTGGGAGGCGGTACGAAGTGGTTTACAGGAAACCATGGCTGCAGTCCAAGCTGAGGTAAGCACCTTCTTTTATTTACCGGCCTTGCTTCCATTAAGCACCTGAGACGTGTCAGAGTCACCCATTTCCTTGTTCCACTGCTTTGACTCTTCTGAACCTGTGTATCTGACTGTCCCTCCAGTTTCTGCTGACTGGCTTGTCTTGATTGGCTTTGTTGACTTTGTTGACTCTTTGTTGACTCCTCTGACTCTTTGTTGACTCCTTGTTGACTCCTTGTTGATTCCTTGTTGACTCCGTTGACTCCCTGACAGGTATGAAGGCGACGCTCTACCTTTTTGGCATCACATCATTTCCGAATCCACCGGCTGCTCTAATCCCAGCTACACCCAAGAACTCCACGGCTATTACATAAAAAAACACGCGTGGCGATTCACCGACCCGAATGCTCGCGAAGCGTTTGCGGCGATTCGTCGCGCCGGGATCAAAATCGCGCTCGTGTCGAATTTCGACACGAGGCTCCGGGATCTGCTCCGCGCGCTCGACTGCTACGATTGGTTCGACGCCGTCGCGGTTTCCGCAGAAGTGGAGGCGGAAAAGCCGAGCTCGGAGATTTTCCATGCGGCGTGTGACATGCTGGGGGTGCTGCCGCATGAGGCGGTGCATGTGGGAGACAGCCGGAATAAGGACGTGGCGGGGGCGAAGAGGGCCGGGTGCGGTGCGGCGTGGCTTTGGAATGAAGACGTATCTTCCTTCACAGAGGTGAGAGAGAGGGTGGTAGTTGTTTTCTGATTCATTTTCTTTAAAAAATCCATGAAGAAAGGTGAGATAGAGGGTGGGGGGATATAAAGGTGGGGAGTGATATGCTGGGGGTGCAGCCGCATGAGGCGGTGCATGTGGGAGACAGCCGGAATAAGGACGTGGCGGGGGCGAGGAGGGCCGGGTGCGGGGCGGCGTGGCTCTGGAATGAAGGTGGGTTTTTGTTTTGTATTTTTTGCCTCCTCAGAATTTTGGGGGGGGGGGGGGGGGGAGGGGGGAAGTGAGATTGATATTGGGAGAATATGGAGGTGGTGTGGTGTGTGACATGCTGGGGGTGCTGCCGCATGAGGCGGTGCATGTGGGGGACAGCCGGAATAAGGACGTGGCGGGGGCGAAGAGGGCCGGCTGTGGTGCGGCGTGGCTTTGGAATGAAGATGTGCACTCCTTTACTGAGGTGAGAGATAGGGTATTTACAAAGAGTTCGGAAAAACATAGGGTATTCGTTCCTTGAGTTGAGTGAGGGGAGGAAGACCCTAAAAAGGCATGTGCTGTGTGGAAATCAGGCGATAAAAGAAGGAAGGAGATACGGGGGACTTTGAACCCCCTTTGCAAAGGTGGGTTTGAGGGCTAGGGAGAAGCCAAGGGTGGGAATTATTTAGAGGCGATTCAGAATCTGTTTTTTTAGAGTTCTAGGAAAAGGGTATTCTTCTGAGGCACTTCAGAAGACGTGCACTCCGTCCTTCGGATGTGTGAGGGGGAGGGTGTGGAGTGAATCTTGAGTCGACTCAAGGTAACTTCTGAGTCGACTCAAGAGAAATCAAGGGTGGATATTCTTCTGAGGCGCTTCAGAAGACGTTCACTCCGGTCCTTCACATGGGTGAGAGAGAGGGTGTGGAGTGATAGTGTGTTTTCCACAGGGTGGGGTGTGCAGCATTTTTGGTGGAAACAAAGAAAGACACGCGCAAAACAGTCACAGAGGTGAGGTTGGAGAGTTTCTAAGAGCCTCAAAACTCGTCTGTTTTTCAACAAGGCAGGGTGTGCAGCATTGTGGGTGGGAATGGAGATGGATTGTTTTCCTTCACAGAGGTTCGCTTGGTAGATGTAGAGTAGCCCAATTATGGGTCTGCTCAAAGGTTTCCAATAATGTGAGCACTGGAAGTAGCGGCAGAAGAGGGGTGCAAATTCCTGCAGTTGCCTGGAAACAGGGAACTGGACGTTCTTGTTGATGTGATAGGTTTGGATGATGAGGACTTGCTGAATTTCTTTTTTGAGGCTGCTACGGTATGTCTCATGCTTTCAGTACTGGCATCTTCTGCGTTTTTATTGTATAAATGTTAACATCCATTAACTTGTTTAGCCAATAAACCCTTGCCTTGCTATCACAGGTAGCACAGCGGCTGGGGGTTTCAATTCCAGCAGCATCACCGGAGGTTCGCTTCATATGAGCATCTGCCCACAACTCATTATAGGCACAAAGGCTTCGATTGTAAAGGAAAACGAGGTGCACATATGTTTTATCGTATTGCCATGTTGTACATTTGGCTCTACTAGGTTTTGCTTGTACATAATTCTGTGACGTGTACATTTTGGGTTGTATATAGTGGATTGACTATTTTTTGGGTTGCTGACGTGTGCTTCAGATACGCTACAAGTTGCAGGGATAAAACGTGGTTCATCCCTTTGGCTTAGATTTGATGGACAGGAAGGCTGTACAGCAGACATCAAAATGAATGGACTAACAGGTAAGACATCTTCTGTACGAGAACTGTACATTATAACCCTCTCCGATTTACAACGCATACAGCTCTGTACCGCGTAAGATATGCTCTTTGCCAATCAGATGCGTGGAATTGGCTGACACTATCGCAATGTCAGAGCAGAGAAATGCGGGGGCAGAGTAACCCAAATCTCGTGTTGTCCTGCAGCAGTGCAGTCCCCCCCTGCCATCCCCTGCATGGGTCGGTTGGTCGTTCGTGCGAATTTCCCGTGGCGCCTAATGCCTACATTTGGATGTGGATGCCGAGTCGCATCCGCGCCCCATTAACATTTTTGTCCTTCCACCACACAGTTCCGTGAGCGTTCAGCCACCCACAATACCACACGACTAGCCTGTGCATAGTTCCTGTGTTTACTCCTGCCGTCGTGAGTCATGAGTCGTGGCATGAGACAGCAGCTAAGAGCTATCTAGCGCGACGGCTTTCTTGTCAACTAGGACGGCACGATATGTGGCGATCCGCATTGACAGTTGCGCGTAATCTCTCGCAAGTCGAACTGTTGGCGTTGAATGTCATGTCATTGCCCTCCGTGACTTGGCCCACTCCCGTGACGGGTTTGCAGCTTAGATGCTAATAGCTAACGCGATGTATCGTTGCGTTTGACGGGCAATGGTTACCGCGAGATGTTGTGATGCCATCGTCGGGACCTTATTTGAGATGATTTTTTAGGCGCCCAATAGTCGACTCTTTTGAGTCGACTCCAAATACCAGAAGACGTGCTGTAATGCCATCGCTGGCACCTTATTCGAGAGATGTCGTTCATGTTGCATCTAACGAGCACTCTTTGTAACTGCTCACAGAGCATCTAACGACTGTTACACTGTAGACATGCCCAAGGAGCATCTGACTACTACTCTATAGACATGCGCATTGAGCGTCTAACGACTAATCTACATTGTTCATGACAACTATTAGTTCCCCTGTTGTAACATTCAAATAAATCAAGAGCGACGGACTTACGGGGAATAAGAAGGGACAGAGGCAGCAGCGAGAGGGGGTAGAGGCAGTACAGTCTGCCGTCACGTCTCCTTGTGACCGTCGATCGGACAAAAAAGCGCTCAACAGGAATTAGCACGATGTTAACTCAGAGAAGTCGCTGCAACGGTAGACGTAATTCTAGAAACAGTCCGAATTGTTCACATCCTCTCGACCTCGATCTTCGTCAAACTCCGTCCACGTTTCCGTCAGGCCGCCTCAACCGGCGTCAATACCCGTTCGCTTTCCCGTCAGAGGCCGTCCTCCTACTGTCTCTCCTGCTTCTACACAGCCCTTCTAGCCTCTCTCCCTTCTCCCCGTTTTCCCTCTTCTCCCCCAACTCTCCCCGCTCTCCTAGCGCATACCGCCAATTTCGTCCGTCTTACCTTGCCGCCGCCGCCTCGCACGACAGCGAACATAACAACGCGGACGCGGTAACTTCTTCGTTAGCCCTTTCGCAGTCGCTTTCGCCCGAGCCAATCGCGGGTGAACGACCGCGACACCGGCATGCTCCCAGGCGCCACACCAGCCGCCGAAAAGGAACTGGCAGCACGATGGATCACGCGGATTCGATTTCTAACATCCAAACAAATACTTCCGTACACGATGGCCAGGATATTGTCGCAGATAACGTAGCTGATAATACCGCGGATATTGGTGCGTCTCAATCCACAGTCGTGGTCGCACGGCGGGGGAGCAACAGGCTGGAGCGATCTCCCCCGCCAGCGAGAAAAAGCCGCGTTGGCGGAAGTGTCAACCGCACTGCGCGAACGCCTCCGCCCGCGCGGAAGTCTCCGCCTGCGCGGAAAGACCTTCCCACGCGGGGAACTGTCCCCGCGCCCCCGAGCGGCGCGGGGACGCGCAAAAGCGGGGATCCGGCGCAAGCAGGCCGCGATTCGAATACGACAAGGAATAGCGCCCCCGCTTCCGCCGGCTCAAAGCGCGCCGCGCCGCCACCGCGTCGCCCCAGACGCGCAACCAGCGGCGCGGGGAGGCAGTCCGGAAACGCGACTAGGCAGCCGGAGAACGCGGGGAGGCATTCGGGGAACGCGGGTAGGCGGAGTAGCAGCGGCTCGAGCAAGAGGCGGACGGGCAGGCGCGGCGCGACCCCGACTCGGCCCGTGTCGCGGGCGGCGGAGCCGCCCATTCAGTTCGTGCGGCTGACGACTGCGAACAACGCGACTTGCCTCGACGGCAGGTGGGTGGCTGGAGGGTGGCAGAGTGGGTGGCTGGTGGGCGGCAGAGTGGGTGGCTTGTAGGCGGCAGAGTGGGAAGCTGGGTGGGCGACAGTGGGTGGCTTGACGGCAGAGTGCCCATTACCGCAGAAACAACAAGGGAAAATTCTGTGTTTAGGCCCTTGATTGAGCAGGATACGGCCTCGGAACAAAGTGACGGCGCAACGAGCAGGTGACATAGCACCAACCTCTCCCACATATCTTTCCTCGCTTCCTGCTCTCCCTGTGCTCCCACCCGCGCCCGTGCAGTCCCCCCGCGTATCATCACCGCATAGGATACGGCCTCGAAGCAAAGAGACGACTCCACGACTGCGCTCTGTCTGCTCCCATCCCCCCCCCATCTGCCCTCACAGTCCCTTGCAGCTCATCAGCCGCTTCTTTCCCCCATCCGCGCATGCAGCTCCCAGGCGTTCATCAGTCTCTCCTCCCTCACTCTCTGCTCACTTTCTGCTCCCTCCCCGTCCCCCCATCCGCGCCCGTGCAGTCCCCCGGCGTACTACTACAGGCCTGGGTACGGCCTCGGAACAAAAAAGTGGCTGATATACCTCATGGTGAGTGGCGTCTCGTTATAAGCTGGCTCGCAAAGGTGAGCGGGGAGAGAGGGAGGGGGGTCGTTATACGACCCAGTCCTGTTGGCAAGAATGAGAACTTAGAACGGACAGATAATTTCGTTTTTCCGCCTGATGGGGAGAGGTCATTCACCCTGTACCGTATTCGAGGCGCCTCAAAAGTCAAGAGCCGCCTCATGTTTTGAGGCGCCTCGCAAGTTTGTCCGCCTTATGGGTTGAGGTCATCCACCCGGACCACCCCATGGTCATCCTTCCCTTCCCTCCTTCCCTCCCCTCCGTCCCTTTCCTCCTTTCCTTCTCCTTCTCTCTGATTCTTCCCATCCCTCCTTCCCTTCCCTCCTTCCCTCCCCTCCGTCCCTTCCTCCTCCCCCCTCCCCATTATCCTCCTCTCCAGGGCGGTCGCTGGTGCCTCTCTTCCAGACAGTGCTGCCTACGGGCCGACACAGAGCTGGGGGGATCAACCAAGGGCTGGCTCAAATCTGGCCTTTTCTTCACTCCTCCTCACTCCTCCCCACTCCTCCCCACTCCGCCCCACGCCTTCCCACACCTTTTCACTCCTCTCCAGGGCGGTCGCTGGTGCCTCTCCCCCAGTCAGTGCCGGCTACGGGCCGACACAGACCTGGGCTCAACCACGGGCTGGCACAAGTCGGGCTCCTCTCCCACTGATTCCCACACCTTCCTAATCCTCCCCACTCCTTGTCACGCCTGCCTGCTCTTCTGCAGGGCGGTCGCTGGTGCCTCTCCCCCAGTCAGTGCCGCCTACGCTCCGACACAGACCTGGGCTCAACCAACGGCTGGCCCAGACCCGGGGATCCAGGGTTTGAAAGCAACGTGAGTGCCATTACCGGTTGGTCAGTCAGTCAGTTGGTCAGTCGGTCAGTCAGTCAGACAGTCTGTCAGTCAGTCAGTCAGTCAGTCAGTTACTCACTCACTCACTCACTCACTCACTCACTCACTCACTCACTTAGTCAGTCAGTCAGTCAGTCAGTCAGTCAGTCAGCCGGTCAGTCAGTCAGTCAGTCAGTCAGCCGGTCAGCCAGTCAGTCAGTCAGTCAGTCAGTCAGCCTGTCAGCCAGTCGGTCAGCCAGTCAGCCTGTCAGCCTGTCAGTCAGTCAGTCAGCCTGTCAGTCAGTCAGTCAGTCAGTCAGTCAGTCAGTCAGTCAGTCAGTCAGTCAGTCAGTCAGTCAGTCAGCCGGTCAGCCAGTCAGTCAGTCAGTCAGTCAGCCTGTCAGCCAGTCGGTCAGTCAGTCAGCCTGTCAGCCTGTCAGTCAGTCAGTCAGTCAGTCAGTCAGTCAGTCAGTCAGTCAGTCAGTCAGTCAGTCAGTCAGTCAGTCAGTCAGTCAGTCAGTCAGTCAGTCCGGCAGTCAGACAATTTGATCGTGCACCCTCACTCACTCTGCACCCAGCGCCTTTCCCCCTCCTTTCCCCCCACCAGCTGGACAGCATGCGAGCGGGGTTTCAGGGCGTGCTGAGCGGCGATGCTTCAGATAATCCGCTCTTCTATTCCTGGAACACGGTGGTCGTGCTGTATTGCGACGAAAGGGCTGCTTCCGCTTCCGCTGTATTAAACGCCCTCTCTCCCCTCTATCTTCCCCCCCCACCAGCTTGACAGCATGGGAGCGGGGTTTCAGGGCATGCTGAGTGGCGATTCGTCGGAAAATCCCTACTTCTCCTGGAACATGGTGGTTGTGCTGTATTGCGACGGGGGTGTATTCGCCGGGGTGAAGGGAAAAATGCTCTACGACCACTCTCAACCGTACTATCTCTCCGGACGACCGATTCTGAACTCGATTCTGGGAGGTGCGTTTCGGTTTTCTATCTGCAGTCTACAGCGAACGACAAATCCGTGTTCCATTGCAAAATTCGCGAAAGTGATTCAAGTGTAACGAAAGGAGGTATAGGGAAGTGTTAACGGGAGTGGAACACGGTGGGGGGGTGTTCCCTGGGGTTAAGGGAAAAAAAACTTTACGACCACTCTCAACCGTACTATCTCTCCGGACGACCGATTCTTAACTAGATTCTGGGAGGTGCGTAACATTTTGTTTTTGCAGCCTACAGCGAAAGAATGTTCAAGGGAACGCGGTATTGGGAGGAATGTCGACAGGAATTCAAAACCAAATTGCACACAAATACAACCACAAAGATTACCACCATAGCACACATACAACACACGGCTGATACATCCTTTTTTAGCCTCAAGGTAAAGCATACCACTATACCACGCATAGTTTTGTGACGTTTCAAAACCAATCTCATCACAATGCTTACCACCATGCCACAAATGGCTAATCTACCCCCGCCCTCCCAAGTTTACCACGACCTATGTTGTTTTCAGCCCCATTTCCCTCGCCCACACCCCATACTCTGTTCCTCCTCCCCCACTCTCTTCGTTTCCCCCCATTCTCACGTTCCCTTCCCTCAATCTTGAAAGTGTTTAAGGCAATATTCCGTCCTTTCCTCTTCCCCCACACACCTCGGACTGCGTTCCCCCTCCCCCCACCCTCATCCTCCTCTCCATTCCAACCCCACGTTTCCCTTCCCCTCAGATCTGAACAACACTGGTCTGCAGGAGGCAGATTCCGTCCTCCTTACAGGCTGCTCCGCTGGGGCTATAGCACACATCACACACACACACATTGCACACACCACACACACCACGAACAACATGTGGCCTATTTTTCCCGCATCTTCCCCCTCCTCTTTCCCCCCCAGCAACCCCACGTTCCCTTCCCTCAGATCTCAACAACAAGGGTCTGAAGCAAGCGGATTCCGTCCTCCTTACAGGCTGCTCCGCTGGTGTTATAGCTCACATATAAAGTATCACACATACCACAAACACAACATGACATATTCACCCTTCATCCCTCCACGTTCCCCATCCCCCATATCTCAACAACAAGGGTCTGAAGCAAGCGGATTCCGTCCTCCTTACAGGCTGCTCCACTGGTGTTATAGCTCACATATAAAGTATCACACATACCACAAACACAACATGACATATTCACCCTTCATCCCTCCACGTTCCCCATCCCCCAGATCTCAACAACAAGGGTATGAAGGAAGCGGATTCCGTCCTCCTTACAGGGTGCTCCGCTGGCGCTATAGCGGTGTCGATGGCGTGTGATGCCATGGCGCAGTTCCATTTCCCTTGCACGGCCAAAGTCAAATGCCTCATGGACGCTGGCTTCTTCATGGGTAAGTGTGTTTGCATCTCATGGAGTTATGGGTGCTATAGCAGTGTCTATGGCATGTAGTGCCATGGCGCAGTTCCACTTCGGGAGTGTGCTTGGGATCCGAAAGCTGGGATCCGAAAGCTGGGATCCGAAAGCTGGGATCCGAAAGCTGGGATCCGAAAGCTGGGATCCGAAAGCTGGGATCCGAAAGCTGGGATCCGAAAGCTGGGATCCGAAAGCTGGGATCCGAAAGCTGGGATCCGAAAGCTGGGATCCGAAAGCTGGGATCCGAAAGCTGGGATCCGAAAGCTGGGATCCGAAAGCTGGGATCCGAAAGCTGGGATCCGAAAGCTGGGATCCGAAAGCTGGGATCCGAAAGCTGGGATCCGAAAGCTGGGATCCGAAAGCTGGGATCCGAAAGCTGGGATCCGAAAGCTGGGATCCGAAAGCTGGGATCCGAAAGCTGGGATCCGAAAGCTGGGATCCGAAAGCTGGGATCCGAAAGCTGGGATCCGAAAGCTGGGATCCGAAAGCTGGGATCCGAAAGCTGGGATCCGAAAGCTGGGATCCGAAAGCTGGGATCCGAAAGCTGGGATCCGAAAGCTGGGATCCGAAAGCTGGGATCCGAAAGCTGGGATCCGAAAGCTGGGATCCGAAAGCTGGGATCCGAAAGCTGGGATCCGAAAGCTGGATCCGAAAGCTGGGATCCGAAAGCTGGGATCCGAAAGCTGGGATCCGAAAGCTGGGATCCGAAAGCTGGGATCCGAAAGCTGGGATCCGAAAGCTGGGATCCGAAAGCTGGGATCCGAAAGCTGGGATCCGAAAGCTGGATCCGAAAGCTGGGATCCGAAAGCTGGGATCCGAAAAGCTGGGATTCCGAAAGCTGGGATCCGAAAGCTGGGATCCGAAAGCTGGGATCCGAAGCTGGGATCCGAAAGCTGGGATCCGAAAGCTGGGATCCGAAAGCTGGGATCCGAAAGCTGGGATCCGAAAGCTGGGATCCGAAAGCTGGGATCCGAAAGCTGGGATCCGAAAGCTGGGATCCGAAAGCTGGGATCCGAAAGCTGGGATCCGAAAGCTGGGATCCGAAAGCTGGGATCCGAAAGCTGGGATCCGAAAGCTGGGATCCGAAAGCTGGGATCCGAAAGCTGGGATCCGAAAGCTGGGATCCGAAAGCTGGGATCCGAAAGCTGGGATCCGAAAGCTGGGATCCGAAAGCTGGGATCCGAAAGCTGGGATCCGAAAGCTGGGATCCGAAAGCTGGGATCCGAAAGCTGGGATCCGAAAGCTGGGATCCGAAAGCTGGGATCCGAAAGCTGGGATCCGAAAGCTGGGATCCGAAAGCTGGGATCCGAAAGCTGGGATCCGAAAGCTGGGATCCGAAAGCTGGGATCCGAAAGCTGGGATCCGAAAGCTGGGATCCGAAAGCTGGGATCCGAAAGCTGGGATCCCATGTGCTATAGCAGTGTCTATGGCGTGTGATGCCATGGAGCAATGCGATTCCACTTCCCTCGCACGGCCAAAGTCAAATGCCTCATGGACGCTGGCTTCTTCATGGGTAAGCTGGCCTCTTGAATAACACTACTTGTTAGTATTACTTGTAGTCTACACCCCCGTGCACACACGCGCGCTTGCTCACACTTGGCCAAAGTCAAATGCCTCATGGGCGCTGGCTTCTTCATGGGTAAGCTGGCCTCTTGAATAGCACTACTTGTTAGTATTACTAGTAATCTACACCCACTCACACACACGCACTTCCCTCGCACCGCAAAAGTCAAATGCCTCATGGACGCTGGTTTCTTCATGGGTAAGGGCGCTCTGGCTTTCCTGGGTGGTATCATTAATAGTAGTACACACCTTCATGCGCCCACTTACCTCGCTCAGCCAAAGTCAAATACCTCATGGACGCTGGCTTCTTCATGGGTAAAGCTGACCTCTTTATTCGTATTACGAGTAGAGTACACCTCACACACACGCACGTGCCTTTTGAGTCGACTCAAAAGTCACCACGTGCACTTGCCCACACTTGGCCAAAATCAAATGCCTCTTAGACGCTGGCTTCTCAAAATCAAACGTACAATCATATATTATACATATATGTTTTTTCATCAGTTTTTTTTCTTAAGGGCAATTTTCCAAATTTTGCCTCACCAGTATCTGCATTCACATATCCATTCCTTCTCATTTTCTCCCTCGCACATGTTCTTCCTTTTCCCCCCTCTTATTTTTCTCCCATCCCTCCCCCGGACACCCCAGACATCAGCAGGCAGTGCAGCTTTTGGGGCATCGTGCAGCGAATGTCGACGCTGACCCTCCCTGCTTTCCCCCGTTCTTCCCTTCTCCCACCTTCCTACCTCTCCCCCCCTCCTTTCCTCCCCATCTCCACCACCACCCTCCTTGCACATTCCTCCCCCACACACCCCGGACATCAGCAGAGGCAGTACAGCTTCCGAGGCATCGTGCAGCGAATGTTGATGGTGACCCTCCTTCCTTCCCTTCCCTCCACTCCAACCCCCTCTTTTTTTCCATTTCCCCCCACAGACACCCCGGACATCACCGGGCAGTGCAGTTTCCGAGGCATTGTGCAGCGAATGTTTCGATTCCACTCCATGACTGCTGCTGCTGACGACGACTGTCGCACGGGTATGTTCATTACATTAACGTAACACGTATCCGTCATTATCTCACTGTTCACACTGGTTTCCCTCCGCCAGACTAATTCCCATCCTTCATCCCACTCCTTCACTAAAATCTCTTTCCCTCTCCCTTTCTCTTCCCTTCTCCCCCCCCGCACCCGATTCTTCATCGTACTTTATTGTGTTCCTTGTGTTCTAACTCTGTTTTTCCCTAATGCCCTCCACCTATCAACAGCTTTCTGGCGAAGTAAGGAGCTCTGGCGCTGCTTTTTCCCACAGTACAACCTCCAATACGTTTCTACACCCATGTTCATTGTGCAAAGCACATATGATAAAGTTGGAGCCGGCATTTCTTTCTCCCCACCTCGACTCCCAGACAACAACACACTTGACAGGTGTATGACTCCAGGACTTAACAGGGTGTGTTCTGCACCTGTGTTACGATCCTTGGACCAGTACCGACTTAGATTACGCACGGCAATAAATGATGTCGTTGCAAGAGCTAGTGCAACACGTAGGAGCAAATCCGCTTTTATTGTGACGGATGATGCGCATTGCATGGCTGCATATCCAGACTGGAATAAGCGGGTTGGTAGGAGTGGTCACCCTTGCTATGGCGATTACTCACTGGTGGAGAACTTCCTAGCCTTAGTTAGACAATGTTCTAATCCTAATTCCGTATTCATCTGTAAAAGTGGTGTACACCTGTCAATCTGATGGTGGTTGGGTCTTCACAAATTCGAAGCATTGGAGCCCGCCCTGATTTCAGAGTCGTTTGTTCTGTTCAGTGCAAGAAACTAGAAAATACTTCTGAACAGCTGAATCGCAGCCCAACTGCGTAACACTTCTGAATGTGTCACATGCGGGTGTGACACAACTAGTGTAGGCTATAGTGGGGTAGCCCATAAGGGGTACAACCCAATTAGGGTTAGTACTTGTACCCAACTCATTCATAGTTCCTCCATTCCTTGTTCGTTAGTTTGACATGGTTTCAGAGCAGGTCCTTCCCTAGGAATTTGTTTTTTAGGGCCCACCACAGAGCTGCCCCACTAGCTGCCCTGCTACCCTACCCTACTGACGCGCCGCCCCTAGCAGCTCGTCGCGCCGCCCTTAGCAGCCCACGAGCCGCCCCTGCAGCCAGCGCGCTGCCCATGCAGCCCGCTCGCCACTTTCTTGCAGCCCGCGCGCCGCCCCTGCAGGCCGCTTGCGGCCAGCCCGCTGCCCCTAGGCCCGCTCGCCGCCCCTACGACCCGCTCGCCGCCCGCTTGCGGCTTGCTCACCGCCCGCTTGCGGCTTGCTCACCGCCCTTGCCGCCCGCTCGTCGCTTGCTCGCGGCCCGCTCGCCGCCTGCCTGCGGCCCGCTTGCCGCTTTCTCGCGGCCCGCTCGCCATCTGCCTGCAGCTAACTCGCCGCCCCTGCCGCCCGCTTGCCGCTTGCTCGCGGCCCGCTCGCCGCCTGCCTGCGGCCCGCTCGCCGCCCCTGCAGCCCGCTTGCCGCCCGTTTTGGCCAGCTCCTTGCCCCTGTAGCCCGCTTGCCGCCTGCCTGCGGCCCGCTCGCCGCCCCTGCAGCCCGCTCGCCGCACGCCTGCGGCCCGCTCGTCTCCCGCCTGCGGCCCGCTCGCCGCCCTCTTCCAGCCTGCGCGCCGCCACTTGCAGCCCGCTCACCGCCCCTTGCGGCCCGCTCGGCGCCCCCCCCTTTGCAGCCCACGCGCCGCCCTCTGGCAACCCGCTTGCCGCCCCTTTTGCAGCTAGCGTGTCCGCCTTGCTGCTCACGCCGCCCTGGCTACGCTGCGCATCAGCTCAACCTCTGGCCCCGTGTCTCCTTGCCGGAGACCTCGCCTACACTGCGTTGGACAGGGAAGGTTGGCGATGCGTCGGTGTTCCGGGTCTGGGGCTCTCGTGCCTTTGTCCGCGATACGTCCGCGGACAAGCTCTCCTCCCGTGCTATTCTCTGCGTCTTCCTTGGCTTCCCCCCTCACGCGCCTGGCTGGCAGTTTTACCACCCCACCTCGCGCCGTGTCCTTCCCTCTCAGGACGTCATGTTTGACGAGTCGGTTCCCTTTTACCGTCTCTTCCCCTACCGCTCTGCCCCTCTCCCACCCCTGCCGCTCTTCCTTGCTCCAGGTCCCCCTCCGGTAGACCCCCTCCCCCCTCAGGGTCCTGCTCCCTCAGGTGTGTCTCACGTAGACCCACTCCCCGGGACTGTGCCTGTCGAGGTCGCTGTAGACTCAGGTGCTGCTAGAGGTGCTACGTCTGGGGGTGGTGAGCCTGAGGGTGCGGAGCCTGGGGGTGCTGAGTCTGAGGGTGCGGAGTCTGGGGGTGCTGAGCCTGGGGGTGGTGAGCCTGGGGGTGCGGATCCTGGGGGTGCTGAGTTTGGGAGTGCGGAGCCTGGGGGTACTGAGCCTGAGTGTGTGGAGCCTGGGGATGCTGAGTCTGAGGGTGCGGAGTCTGGGGGTGTTGAGCCTAGGGGTACTGCGTCTGCTGGAGGTCCTGCGGGTGCCTCGCCACGACTGTCTCCCCGGCGAGAGCCTCTCTCACCGCAGCAGCTGCGCGAGTGGTTTGCTCAGCGCACATGCCTTCGGAGTGGAGCTGCAAGAGCTGGAGGCTTTGCCGCTGGTGGCACTGGAGCTGGAGGTGCTGGAGCTGTTAGTCTTGGAGGTGCTGGAGTTACTGCTGGAGCTGGAGGTACCGGAGGTGCTGGAGCTGCTGGTCCTGGAGGTGCTCGTACTAGAGGTACTGGAGCTGCCGGGGCTGGTGGTGTTGGAGGCGCTAAAGCTGGAGACCCTAGAGCTGGAGGCACTGGCGCTGGAGGCGCTGAAGCTGGAGGAGTTGGAGCTGGAGACCCTGGCGCTGGAGGCGCTAGAGCTGGAGGCCCTGACGCTGGAGACGATCTCAGCCTCACAACTGGAACTGAGAACAGAAGACGAGCGGGTAGACCGCTAAGAGACAGAGCCGGAGCCAAGGCTGAAAGCGTAACCCTATGATGACCGCTGAGTAGCCAAGTCGTCAACCCAAGAAGCGTCTGCGTGTCCAGTGAGGACAACTAGACCCCATCCTCCAAGCACGAGCCCCATGCCTGACGTACTGCACAAGTAGCGCAACACCCTCTTAGCGGCCTCCCAGTGCTCTGGTCGGTGTCTCCCGGGTGCAACGTAGCGTGCCAGGATGCTAAGAGGGTAGGCAAGGTCAGGTCGAGTGCAGGTCATCAGGTACATGAGGCAGCCCACAAGCTCTGGATACGGGCCACTCGGCTCTACGGACTCGTCCGAAGGTGGATCTGAGAGCGAGAGACCGGTAGGCAGAGGAGTGGACTGTGGCGAGGAGTACTGGAAGCCGAAGCGCTAGAGGACCTGGTGCACCATGTGTGACTGAGTCAGGGTGATGGTGCGCCGTGCTCTGTCCCGGGTGATCTGCAAGCCAAGATAGCTACGCAGCTCACCCAGGTCAGTGCAGGTGTGTCTCTTCTGCAACTCCGACTTCACAAGGGTCAGTGCCTCAGTGTCAGCAGTGGTAAAGACCAAGTCCTCGATGTACACGAGGACGTAGAACGGCGTCAACGAAGTGTCGGTGCGTAGAAACAACGACGGGTCAGCAGACAAAGGAGCAAACCCAAGAGCCTCAAGTGTCGTCCTCAGTGTGTCGTGCCACTTGTGAGGCGCCAGGCGGAGACCGTAGACTGGCCGTCGGAGGCTCCACTAGGTACCTGCAGGAAACGACCTAGTGAAGCCAGGTGGGCGGCGCAGCCAGATCTCCTCGTGCAGGCTGCCCTGTAAGAAAGTTGTGCTGAAGTCAAGAGAGTGCAGCTCGTAGTCACACTGAGCGGCAACGTGCAGCAGAACCCGAAGAGTGGTCACCTTGCAGGCAGGGGAGAAGGTATGGAAGAAGTCAACTCCTTGTCGCTGACTGAAGCCTCGTGCAACATAACGAGCCTTGAAGACAGGCGGAGAACCCGACGGCCGCTTCACCCTGAGAATCCACATGCCATCGACTATGTTCGCCCCAAAAGGGGGAACTGCGTTGACGTAGGTGTCTGTGGACTTCCACGATGCCATCTCTGCGTCCATGGCTGTCTGCCACTGAGAGGAGTAGGGACCCGTAATCGCCTCTACGTAAGAGCGCGGGGTCGGGATGTCTGGTGCATCCGGGTCTCCCTCAGGTGCAAGCAGAATGGCCACGAGATGAGTTACAACACCTGCAAGACACTCAAAGTCCTCTTGCCTGTCCTCAAGGACGTCCGTGCCAAGAGCACACTCAACCCCGACGGACGGAGGACAATCAGACTCAGACTCAGCAACAAGACTAGTGGCGTAGTCGAGATGACAGGCGGCAGCAAATTCAACAAGCTCAGCAACTATGGCAGACGCAGCAGTGGACTCAAACGAAGGGTCAGTGAGAACAGTGGCTAGAAGACGAGAGACTGTAGGACGGGCAGCACGAGCTAGTCAGACTTAGGGTCAGGAACGGCAAGAAGAGAGGACGCAGGAGGAGGCAGCAGAGGAACTCGCAGTGGAACAGAGGAAGGACGAAGTGTCATAACGTGAGTGCCGGGGACAGGAGGAGGACGCGGACGAGGAACCCGACGACCAGTGCGAGCAGCGCGAACAGGCGAGGCAGGACGAGACTCAGGCTCACGATGCTCTGCAAAAGAGTCTGTCTGCTCAACGTAAGGAGAAGGAGCAGGCAGTGGAGAGTCTGGCTGTAACTGTGGCTGCGACTGGCAAGGCGGTGGACTCAGTAAGCTAGGAGGAAGGCCAGTAGAAGACGGGAGACTAAGAACCTGGCGAAGGACGGAGTCAGGTGGCGGCAGAGACGACGGTGGCGGCGGAACGAAAAACGTGCGCTGCTGCATAGTTCCTCCAGCACCAGTACCGCCAGACGCAGCACCCCCAGCGCCAGCACCTCCAGCTCCAGGGTCAACAGCTCCAGCGCCTCCAGTGCCAGGTGTCAGAATTATATTATAACTACATGTAGTTCTAGCCTTAGTGTAGTTATCCTAACTTCCTGCTTGGTGGTGTACCCACCTTTCCTACCCAATTTGTACTCAACTTTCTATAGTGAATTCATCCTTCTCCTTTCTCGACTTTTCTCTCGACAGTCTTGCCTAGCTCCACTCACTAGCCATGGCTCCTAAGGCTCGTGTCACCTTCTATTATAACACCAGGGTATCCAGCTCCAGCTCCTCCAGCTCCAGCGCCGCCAGCGCCAGTGCCTCCAGCACCAGTGCCTCCAGCTCCAGCGCCTCCAGCGCCACTGCCTCCGGCTCCAGCTCCTCCAGCTCTAGCGCCGCCAGCGCCAGTGCCTCCAGCTCCAGTGCCTCCAGATCCAGTGCCTCCAGCTCCATCTCCTCCAACACCAACAGCCCCGGCAGCTCCAGTACCCCGAGTACGAGCACCTCCAGGACCAGCAGCTCCAGCACCTCCGGTACCTCCAGCTCCAGCAGTAACTCCAGCACCTCCAAGACGAGTAGC